AAAAAGAAACTCCAGGACCAGGAGTACTTGTTTTAAGGGACAGTGCCCCTTAATGTCAGATAGAAGAACAAGACCAGAGAGATGACTGATGCCATGTGCCAAGAAAGAATGATAATAAAGAATTTTTTCCTTGAATATTCACTTTTCACCTTGCATCGGACCTTCACATGACCATAATTAAAAAGAGGAGGGTAGTTTTCAACAAAAAGACAAATGAATATCAGCACGGTTATCAGTCAGCAAAGGCAATGAGGTCGTACACAGCGCCTGCGAGACTGTCATGAACACTGCCTGGCTCTCTTGAACTCCTTCATCCAACTCGGGTGGAAATGCCACACATGAAAAACAGAACCCTTGGTTGTCTGCAAATCCCACTTCTCCAGGCACCTCATGCTGCACAGAATAGTAATTTTATTCAAAGGTAGAACAACGCACTCTTAAAGGACCAAACCTCACCTGCCTACAGTAACTTCTCGAAGACGCGGCCTTATCTATATTCTGGACCCACCCCAGAAAGAGCTGGGGGCTCCAGTAAGGTCGCCCTGACAGATGCAAACGTGCCATTTTCATTCTCAAGGACCCGCTAAGTACCCAAGATCCCTAAGCCGTGGTTACAGAGCCCGGCTTCAAACAGCAGCTTCTAAAGAGGGCGGAGGAAAGGAACAGAGAAGGGAACGAAGGAAGGAGCACTGACCGTGTCGAGGAGAGCGGAGGGCTCCGGCTGCGTGTCCTTGGGCGCGGGGCCGGGCGGCGGCGGCGGCGGAGGGGGGAAGTTGGGGCTGAAAACCATGAGGTCGCTCTTGGCGGCGCCGTCGGCCACGCACAGGCTCCGGCTGTGGCGCTGCGAGTACGACCAGCTGCCCACTTCGCTGGCGCACACGAGCGTGGTGGGCCCGGGCCCCGAGAGCACGGCCGCCCGCGGCGCCCAGCGCGACGCCCCGTACAGCACCACGGCCAGCAGGAACAGGCTGGACACGGCGCAGATGGCCACCACCAGCCACACGTTGGTGGCCGCGCTCGCCGCCCCGGGCCCCAGCTCCACGCCCACGGCCGAGCGCGACGGCGACGCCGACGACGAGGATCCCGCGGCCAGCGCCGCCTCGGCCGCCTCGAGCAGCGACACGCTGAGCGTGGCCGTGGCCGAGCGCGCCGGCTCGCCGTGGTCGCGCACGACGATCAGCAGCCTCTGGCGAGGCCCGTCTGCCTCGTCCAGCACCCGCGCCGTGCTCACCTCGCCGCTGTAGAGCCCCACGCGGAACGGGCCCTTGCCCCGCGGCTCCCACAGCTCGTAGCGCAGCCACGCGTTGTAGCCCGAGTCGGCGTCCACGGCGCGGATCTTGGCCACCACCTGCCCCGCCGGCGCCCCCCACGCCGCCCACGCCCACAGCGTGCCCGACCCCGAGCCCGCCCCCACGCCCGCCGCCGCCGTCTCGGCCGCCACGGCTCCCGCCTCCGGGGCCGAGCCCGCGGCCGGCAGCAGCGCCGGCGCGTTGTCGTTCTCGTCCAGCACGAAGAGCTGCACCGTGGCGTTGCCGCTCAGCGGCGGCTCCCCCGCGTCCACCGCGCGCACCTCGAACTGCAGCACCTGCAGCTCCTCGTAGTCCAAGGGCTGCAGCGCCCACAGGCGCCCGCTCTCCGCGTCCACCGACACGTAGCTCGACGCCGGACGCCACCCGCCGCCCGACCACGACGACGACGACCCCGCGGCCCCGCCGCCGCCGCCCACGCCGCCCTCCCACAGCGAGTAGCTGACGCGCCCGTTGCCCGCCTCGTCCGGGTCCCGCGCCCACAGCCGCGCCAGCTCCGCGCCCGCCGCGTTGTTCTCCCGCGCCAGCACCGTGTACACGGCCTGCGCGAAGGCGGGCGCGTTGTCGTTCACGTCCGACACCGGCACCCGCAGCCCGCGGCTGGCGCGCAGCGCCGGCGCCCCGCCGTCCTCCGCCCGCACCTCCACCTCGTACTCCGACACCCGCTCCCGGTCCAGCGCCTCGCGCAGCACCAGCGAGTACGAGCCCGCGAACGTCGCCTCCAGACCGAACGGCGACGCCGGCCACACCCAGCACCGCACGCGCCCGTTCTCCCCCGAGTCCCGGTCCGACACGCTCAGCAGGGCCACCACCGTCCCCACCGACGCGTCCTCCGCCACCGGCACCGACAGCGACGTCACCCACACCTCCGGCGCGTTGTCGTTCACATCAAGCACCTCCAGCACCACTTTGCAGTGGCCTGACAGCGGGGGCATACCCTTATCCATCCCTTTAATGTGTAGTTCGTAAAAAGTAACGGTCTCGAAGTCAAGGGCGCCCGTCAGTCTGATCTCTCCACTGTTGGCATGGATGCTGAATAAATCTCCTGCTGAGGGGGGAACAGTAGTATCGATCTCATATATAATTTCACCATATATTCCCGTGTCTGAATCTGTGGCGTTCACCTGTGCTACAAGTGTACCCTCCAATGCGTTTTCGGACAAAACTACGTTATACACAGACTGGTTGAATTGGGGGGCATTGTCGTTCACGTCTAGCACCGAGATCAACAGCTCCATGGTGCCTGTCAGAGACGGCCGGCCCCCGTCACTCGCCGTCAGCACCAACCGGTGCACGGGAATCGTCTCGCGGTCCAGAGATTTCGTAAGTACCAGAAACAGGGATTTAGTGCGAGAGTTACTGCTTTCTTCCTCTATTCTAAAATAATCGTTGGGACTGAGTGTATAGGAGAGCTGCGCGTTCGCTCCGATATCAATCCTTCCCACCAGACAAGGGCCAGGCCCCACGCTATACAACAGATCACAGTTTCCTTTGCTAACACAAGGTTCAACATAACTGTTAGCATATCAACACAGTGCATAAGAGATGCTCTGCTGCTGACACCTCATGTTTTCTAATGCTTATTTATGGGAATACTATTTTCAAACTTGATGGTGGAACCTCCAAACAGCAATAGCATTGATTTTGTGCTTCAAGAAAAAAAAGAAATGTGCCAAGGGCACTATTCTAATACATGATACTGCCTGTGTTGGAGAATGTTACTTGAGAATTGGTGGGGAAAGGTGATTCTTGGATTTTCGGGGCTATTTGTTTGTTTGTTCATTACAGAAGTGAAAATTTCCACCTTCATAGACCTTTTAAGTCTAGATCACTTATGTAACTATTGATGCAAATTTTGAGAGAACATTTAAAAAGGACAATGTACTTCACACTACATCTCTTGTCAGAAATGCAAATCCTCAGGAACATGGGCAGCAGGAACACAACAAATAAATTTGTTTTGAAACATATACCTTGGGTCACACACTTCTCTCTGAATGCTTTATATTACTAACCGGAACAAGATACTTGCAAAAATCATAGGAAGATCATGGGAAATATGGGCCACACCTACGCGATTTTCTAAATTAGTCCCTAGTAGAATGATAATAAAGAATTTTTTCCTTGATTATTCACTTTTCACCTTGCATCATACCTTCACTTGACCATAATTGAAAAGAGGAGGGCAGTTTTCAACAAAAAGACAAATGAATATCAGCACGGGTATCAGTCAGCAAAGGCAATGAGGTCGCACACAGCGCCTGCGAGACTGTCATGAACACAGCCTGGCTCTCTTGAACTCCTTCATCCAACTCGGGTGGAAATGCCACAGATGAAAAACAGAACCCCTGGCTGTCTGCAAATCTCAAAACTCCGGCCATCTCTTGTAGCACAGAAAAGTAATTGAATTCTAGAGCAGAGCAACTCATGCTTAGAGGACCAAACCTCACCTGCCTACAGTAACTTCTGGAATACGCTGCCTTATCTATATTCTGGACACACCCCAGAAAGAGCTGGGGCAGACCGAACGGCGACGCCGGCCACACCCAGCACCGCACGCGCCCGTTCTCCCCCGAGTCCCGGTCCGACACGCTCAGCAGGGCCACCACCGTCCCTACCGACGCGTCCTCCGCCACCGGTACCGACAGCGACGTCACCCACACCTCCGGCGCGTTGTCATTCACGTCCAGCACCTCCAGCACCAACTTGCAGTGACCCGACAGCGGGGGTGTCCCCTTGTCTCTCGCTTCCATACGAAAATCAAATACTTTGACTTCCTCGAAGTCTAGGGGGCCCGTAAGGAGGATTTCCCCAGAGTTCGGATTAATGGAAATCACATCTTTTCCACTCGGGGGAATGAAGTTCGTCACGGCATAGGTCACTTCACTGTTAATTCCCTCGTCCGCATCCGTGGCATTCCGTATTTCCCCCCGCGCTGCCTTCCTGAAATGGGTATGTTTTCTACCGTGTCTTGTTGTCGTACTCCTCGTTTTTTCCCCTCATATCTTCTACTGTCTTTGCACGTCATCTTTCATTTCTTCTTCTTCCTTCTTCACTGCCATTTTCATTTGCTTGTTCCCTTGCAATTCATTCTTTTTGGTCATATTTCGTTTATCTTTCCTTTTTTCCTTTGTGCTCCATTCTCTTTCTTCCCTTTCGTCCTTGTTATTCCACTCTTCTTTCTTTCCACTCTTTTCCCATCTCCTTCCACCCACCTCTATTCTTTGGCCGCGCTGGAAGGTCGCCAGTTTTCTCTGGTGCCACAGAGACCATCAAATGCGGAATCATCAGCGCTAATTACGGGCCATCATTGCTGCAGAGCTGCGCTGCTCCAACCAAGGCTGTTAGGAACCAGCTCTGCCCAGCGTCTACTCATAAGTTCGGTGCGTGCTGGTCAGCTCTATGGTCTCTTTCATATTTCCATTCTTCCTTCATTTCTTTCTTTCATTATGGCTTTATTTTTATTTGCATCGGTTCATTATTTACTTTATTACTACTACTACTACTACTACTACTATTTTATTACTATTACTATTATTATTATTTTCTTGATGCTATTTATATTTTCCCCTTTCATTTACTTTATTTTCTCTTTCCTTGTTCTTTCTCTGTATCTTTTCATTCCTGCTTATCCCGGTCCTATGTCTTTCCCCCCTCTCCTCACCTGTTTCCATCTTGTCTCTTTTGATCTTTTTTTTTTTTTTTGTCTTCACTAGAATATTTTCCAAATCCTCACAATGTAGGTTGGGAATATCTCTCTTTGTTCTTCTTTTACCTGACCCCTTCATGTACATCCTTGCTTAGTTGTTTGTTTTTTTTTTTTTTAAATCTTCTTTCTACATTCTTCTTCCTTTTTTGTCGTTGCATCCCCTGCTCCTCTATTTCCATAATTATATCTTCTGCACATTCTTTCCTTCCACAAAATATTTTAAAATACCTAAAACACGAACATGCCCTTGGGGCCAGAGTCTCATTTCTCTTCCCTACACTTCCTGTTAATGTGGAGAGGAGCAGCCTGCTTGCTCTCCATGCACCTCCAACTTCGCTCTGTTCAGGAGAAAGACCACACTCTTCAGCCTCCAGTGCTCTCAAGGACCCAGCAATAACACAGCAAGGCAGCCAGATGACAAAGAAAAGCTCTGCTACATCAAAAGAGTTTCCACCACTCTCTGACACAGAAGCTGAGGCCACAGTTAATTGGGACATCTGTGCATGGAGGCCTGGAAGAGTTCAATCAAACCAGGGAATTTTCTCATTCCAGAACTCAAACCTATCACAGCCCAGCATGACAACCTTCCTTAAAGACCTAAAAAAGCACTGGGCAGCCACAGCTCCTGAGGACTCCTCATGTACCTCAATCCTTCCTGACTTTCCTCTTGCATGTTCAAAGTTCTCTTCCTCTCTGGAAGGCATCTGCTGCCTAGACAGTACACTATAAGAACCTTGGTATCTATGAGGCTCCAAGGAAAATCTCTCCACTCACCTTAGGATGATCCACTTGTCACACAGCCAACAAAAGCCATGAAGGTAACAACATAACAATGTCACTAAGAACACTCCCCTGACCTCCTACACATCTGTTTGGTGAAATGAATTTTGGTCCCTCCTCCATTCCTGCTTGCTGTCACCCACTCAGGCTGTGCCTGAAAGCATCAGAAAAGGAGAATGAGGGCAGGTGACAAATGCTGTGTTGGTCCAATAGGGTGAACATTCTGCTAATTCAACAAAAAGATGCCATAACTGAACAGGAAATAAAATGCAACAGTCTGAAGAACACTCACATTTGGTCTATGACTTACCTCTTCTGAACTGGTTCCTTCTTCAGAAAATAAATACTTTTGGGGCAGGAAAGTTGGTTTTAAAGGATAATTGTGCTTAACATTATCAGTGTTTTTGGGGAAGCTGGGCAGAAAAACATCACTTATGTTCCACAGAAACTGGACAACATGCAGTATCCATCACGCATTTCTAGGGGAAAGAGGAAGCAGATCTGTAAACTACAGAAATTATCTCAAAGTAAACCTTAGAAGACAGGAACAGGCATCCGCCACACTGATGGGGAATGGCCCAAATATCTGCCATGTTGCCAATGAGAGACAGGAAATAAACACAACAACAAACAAACCCAGAAAAACAAAAGCATGTGCAGTTTGATAGAGAAGAGGAAAATAATTTTTTTAGAAAGTCCCATTCTCCTGTCTTGAAAAGCAAATTTTGGCAACATCTTGAATACCAAGATCCATCTGGCAAGACAAAGCAGAAAGACAATGAGGGAAAGATTCAGAGAAGGCTCCGTAGCATGATCCAAATTCCAAAAGGTTCTCTCTGACCAACAACATTCCATACCCAACCCAAGTAATTAAAGGCATACAGGATAGATGTTTACACTAAGAGCAATACCAGGAAGAACAGCAGTGCCCTGATATGCAGAACTTCTGGGTGTCCTGAGAGGATCCCAGGAAAGCAGCACTGTGTGGTGGAACATTTCTGAAGTATTCTACTGTAATCCGCTATTTTGCACCCTGGGAACTGGGACCTCCGCAGCTAAACAGACATTTCCCATTTCCTCCTCAAATATATATTCAAATTCTCCCCTTTCCCCATGCCTGCCACAAAAAATATACAGAATGATACAAATCCATTCTGTGATTCTTCAACTTGTCCCTCATGCCAGGATGCTTTTTGCCTTTTCAGCAATTTCAAATACAAACCAAGTTCTTAAAGGTTCTGCAAGTAGAGTCATGAAAAATACTAATTGCAGTCCCCACAAATCTTCAAGAAAATTACACCAAACCTGAACCTCAAATCCCGTCAAAACGTTAAGAGTGGAAGACTTTCTGTAATAGAAAACCAGAGCCAGGCTGCTCTGTAGAATTGGAGGTTTGGTGTGTACGTACATCCAGACACCAGAATAAGCCATGTGCAATAACAGGACTCACCATCTCTGCCCAGACTGACCAGGCAGGAGCACAAGAAGGGGAAGAAAAGCACAACGAGATTACACCCACCCCCTCAACTGCCCTTAAATATCATGTCTCAAGAGAAGTACAGATCCACCATGGCAAGAGCTGTGGAAGCTTCTACAAGAACCCTACAATACACATGGAAAGCAGTTTGTAGTGCCACTCTCCCATAACAACACCCCCAAAACAGCGGCAAAAATGTTCATCAGTCTGCATGTTACCAGCTGTTACCCAACACATTCCCTGTGTCAGGCCAGAGGCAGCACAAGGGACTCTCTCTGATGGGAGATATTCATAACCTCAACAGACTCCGTGGCCATTTCAATACCACATATTATCTCAAGGTTCAAAAGGCCTCCAACATCAGACCCTTGGAACTTGGGAAAGAATCCTGGCCACAAACACTCTGTGCCAATCCTACCTACTGCAAGGCATGCTCCATTCCTCACTTTGTAACATTAATTCTCGAGTAAAAAGCATCATCTCACATCTCCTATTCCTCTCTTCTTATGTCACGGTCCATAATTTCACAGATTATTTCTCGTTCCCTCAGAAAATCGTCCCATTGCTCCAGAACACCATCCCAGTGTTCACAATGATTCTGTGGGACCAACCAAAATGGAGAAATTATACTCTGCACATTGAAAATACATTAGACCACAAGTCCAAATCGCCAGCTGTCCCCAGAACACTTGTAGAGGGAAATGACAGAGGATGAGGACAGAGAAGAAACCACAGGTGAAACCATCCAAGTCAACACTATGCAAAGCGAGTAAGGCAGTACACAGTACCTACGGGTCTGTTACCAACGCAGCCTCCTTCTTTTGCGCTCCTACACTAAACCCGGGAGAAAACATTACATACCGGACAGCAAGAGCGCTGACTGCAAAGGTGACTCCTTAGAGAAGGGATTTCATCTTAGGGGAACACAATTCATATCCACATCAGCAAACCTCAGCTGCGGACCGTTACAGCAGAGAGGTGCCGCTAATCTTTTATTTCCAGCAAGTCTTCCCCTCCCACAGGCAGGAGTTCTGCGGCTCCGGCAGGACCCTGCGACAGATGCAAAGGTGTCTTTGATTTCTTAAGGACCCGTCAAGTACCCACCGCCCTCAGGCCGCGGCAATTTGGCCTGGATCCCAGCAGCGACTGCAAAGGACACAGAACAGAAGGCGCAGAAAATGAGTACAGGTAGAGATGAGCAAGCATTGCACTGACCGTGTCGAGGAGAGCGGAGGGCTCCGGCTGCGTGTCCTTGGGCGCGGGGCCGGGCGGCGGCGGCGGCGGAGGGGGGAAGTTGGGGCTGAAAACCATGAGGTCGCTCTTGGCGGCGCCGTCGGCCACGCACAGGCTCCGGCTGTGGCGCTGCGAGTACGACCAGCTGCCCACTTCGCTGGCGCACACGAGCGTGGTGGGCCCGGGCCCCGAGAGCACGGCCGCCCGCGGCGCCCAGCGCGACGCCCCGTACAGCACCACGGCCAGCAGGAACAGGCTGGACACGGCGCAGATGGCCACCACCAGCCACACGTTGGTGGCCGCGCTCGCCGCCCCGGGCCCCAGCTCCACACCCACTGCCGAGCGCGATGGCGACGACGACGAGGACGACGAGGATCCCGCGGCCAGCGCCGCCTCGGCCGCCTCGAGCAGCGACACGCTGAGCGTGGCCGTGGCCGAGCGCGCCGGCTCGCCGTGGTCGCGCACGACGATCAGCAGCCTCTGGCGAGGCCCGTCTGCCTCGTCCAGCACCCGCGCCGTGCTCACCTCGCCGCTGTAGAGCCCCACGCGGAACGGGCCCTTGCCCCGCGGCTCCCACAGCTCGTAGCGCAGCCACGCGTTGTAGCCCGAGTCGGCGTCCACGGCGCGGATCTTGGCCACCACCTGCCCCGCCGGCGCCCCCCACGCCGCCCACGCCCACAGCGTGCCCGACGCCGAGCCCGCCCCCACGCCCGGCAAAGGTGTCTTTGATTTCTTAAGGACCCGTCAAGTACCCACCGCCCGCGGGCCGCGGCAATTTGACCTGGATCCCAGCAGCGACTGCAAAGGACACAGAACAGAAGGCGCAAAAAATGAGTACAGGTAGAGATGAGCAAGCATTGCACTGACCGTGTCGAGGAGAGCGGAGGGCTCCGGCTGCGTGTCCTTGGGCGCGGGGCCGGGCGGCGGCGGAGGGGGGAAGTTGGGGCTGAAAACCATGAGGTCGCTCTTGGCGGCGCCGTCGGCCACGCACAGGCTCCGGCTGTGGCGCTGCGAGTACGACCAGCTGCCCACTTCGCTGGCGCACACGAGCGTGGTGGGCCCGGGCCCCGAGAGCACGGCCGCCCGCGGCGCCCAGCGCGACGGCCACGCACAGGCTCCGGCTGTGGCGCTGCGAGTACGACCAGCTGCCCACTTCGCTGGCGCACACGAGCGTGGTGGGCCCGGGCCCCGAGAGCACGGCCGCCCGCGGCGCCCAGCGCGACGCCCCGTACAGCACCACGGCCAGCAGGAACAGGCTGGACACGGCGCAGATGGCCACCACCAGCCACACGTTGGTGGCCGTGTTCGCCGCCCCGGGCCCCAGCTCCACACCCACTGCTGAGCGCGACGCCGACGACGACGAGGAGGATCCCGCGGCCAGCGCCGCCTCGGCAGCGTTGTCGTTCACGTCCAGCACCTCCAGAACCACTCGGCAGTGACCAGACAGTGGCGGCCAACCTTGGTCTGTCGCTTCTATACGAAAATCAAATATACTGACTTCTTCGAAGTCCAGGGCTGCTGTGAGGTGAAGCTCCCCGGTCTTTGGATTGACGGAAATCACATCTTTTCCACTCGGAGGAATGAAGCTGGTTGCAGTATAAATAATTTCACTATTAATGCCACCATCCACATCCGTGGCGTTCACTCGTGCCACGAGCGTCCCCTCCGTAGCGTTCTCCGGCAGCTGCACTTTATACACAGAC